AACTAGGGAATGTGGGGGAAATTATTGAATTGTTAGTGACATTCGCATCAAATAGTTTCCTCCAACTTTGGCATCACGGACAGCTCCTCGACGCTGGCGGCGCTGGCCGAGTCGAGGTATCTGAAAAAAGGTGGTATGGTAATTTTTGCCAACGAAAGTTTCTAGAGCTAAATCGCGGCAGTCAGACGTCGATATATAAATTACGATACCGTGATTACGACAACTGAAATGCTGAGACCCAAATGCCGACAACGAAATGAAAATGCCGACGCAATGAGAGCATTTGAAAAACCATTAGCAAAGCCAAATCTTTTGAATTACGGTATTCCGGTTTCTCGGTAGTTGAGCTGTCGGCATTTTGGCTGATTCACATAGCCAGAAATTCCCAAAAAAAAAAACGGAGGAATGCGATGGTCGCCCTTCAATGAGTAATTTTTTTAAGGAAAATTTTTTGAATATTTTCTTGTTTATATAACACAAAGTATTACAGTAATCACAATTTCTCCTACCTCTCAAAATCGACGATCGGCCTGGTGTCCTCAGATCTTCTACCCATATCCCTCCACGATCGAAGGGACCTCGCGCAAAGCAGGCGCTGGTTGTCGATGCGGCGCGCTTTTTGAATCTTGGACCTTAAAAATAAAGTTGTTTTCAGATATATTATTTTAGTTGTTACAATTTTTTTTAGGATTTTGGACAGTTTTAGAGCCGCTAAGAAGATCTGGATCAAGGGCTAGGTTTGTTGAGGTTGGGTCCTTTATTTCTGTATATCATTTTACCCAAAATTTTTTTAGATCGTTAAAATAAAACTTACGTGTGTCTCAGACTGACAACAGCCGACAGGAACGACTGCAACCCTGAGAGCGTCAACAGGAACAGCCCGGAGCCGACGCTGACCGAGGCTTCTGGGCGCAGGTTGGCAATTGTCGCCTCGGCCACGATGGATACGGCGCAGGCGGTGAGGCAGAGAAGCACTAAAATATAAATTTTTTTGGGCTGGTTGAATCTACGCTTACTATTGCACATCTCGACCACCGTATTCCTGCGTAGCCATGCCAGGAAGCTGTGTGGCGGGGCGAGAACGTGAAGGAGTGCGGCGCAGAGGGCTGTTAGAGCAACCACGAAGCAGAGGGCGATTAGGAGGTCTGAAATCCGGTTCCTTAGAAGTTTTTCAAGCAGTAGAGAACGGCACCATCACTTTAAAGGAGCTGAGAAGGTGATTTGACATTTTTCAAGTCTATGGGCTCTCCTTCGATTTTGTCGCTCCCGTTAAAAGCGTGTTAAAATGGATTTTAGCCCATTACACAACCGCACTTGTGCTTATCGTGGCAAAAGCCAAAAAATCTGACCCTTCTAGGCTTCTTTAAAACGAAAAAGACCTACAGAAAAGATCAGCAACCAGCGGCGTCACGCAATCCCACAACACCCGATCCTCGGTTCTGAACGCAGTGTGCTTCTTCCCGTTCTTCTCGACGAATCCCCCGAATGAGGAGATGCTCCAGAAGTCACGGGTACCTACAAGAAGTGAGATGCATTGAGAGAGCGAGAAAGCGTGGAGAGGTGAGCAGAATAATCACGTCGAGACTCACCCAAGCGTTCGCATTTCTGGGCTCCCGGAAACTCAGAGAGAGGCTCGATTAGGGTGGAGTTGGTCTCGTCATCGATGAGAATCCAGTCGCTGCTGATTAGGGCCGAGATTGCCTGAGAAATGATGATTGATGCAAGGTTTTAAAGGGACTAGTAAACGTTAGAATCGTCTGCCTTTCGATAAATCTCAATAACTACGCGGTACTCCCAGAAACGTTGGAAAGGCATCATAATTTTTACCATAACCCCCATTTTTCCAAAAGCTTTTTTACATGAGATATGGCATCATTTAGAGCAGTGCGCAGCTGTCGAGACCTAGTCAAAAATAGAGGTGGATTCGGATCGGTTGGTAAAAATGTCCATTACTTGGCTTTTCCGATACCGCTACGATACCATTAGATGAAATTCCATTCACGAAAATCGGCCTAAAAACCCACCAAAATGGCGACAAAGATGTTGATGAACCCGGAGGCGAAGTTCGACTCGGCCGAATCATAAACGATCCATTTCAGCAGCGTTCGCATGCGAGCGCTAGGAGAATTTTCCATATTTTAGGGTAGAAATCGCGAGAATGAGGAATCTAACTCTGTGAGTCGAAAACGAGAATCAAACAGGCTGATGAAGCGGACCGGGCGGGGTGGTGCCTGGCTATGTTTTGGCTGCGGTGTCCAGCACGGCAGATGGGCAAACTAGGGGCGCTTCGTCAGACAGCCGAACATCCCCAAAAAATGGCGCCAAAAAATTTATTTACACACTAATAGCCGTACGGCAGGTGTTCGCCGGACATTGGGGGTAAATAGCATAAAATGGAGAGTTTAGTGGAGCACCGGAAATTCAAAAATGAGAAAAAGTGGGTGGGTACATGAGCAAACTCTACTAGATTCTGGGTCATTCAAAGGATAAAAAAACTAAAATAGTTGTTAGCGTTTCCGGTTTTTGGCTCAGACTGCAAAGAAGATAAAAACTACTCTATTTGCGCATCAGTGGAACAGGTTCCGGAACTTTGGATTTCAGACGTCAAAAAAGCGTCGAAACAGGTCTACTCTAGTCGCGAAAAAAGTTATATGAGGCCGGAAGCCTAGGGTGAATGCATCAAAAGGATACTATCAGCTTCCGCTACCGTTTTAGCCTATGATGGACTGATGGACTCGGTGTGGAGGAGATCAACTTGCGGGTGGAATTCCGGCTTCGTTTCTTGGTTGGCCTCTTGGTTTTATTTATTCCGTTTTGCAAGGGAGAAACCCGTAAGTAAGGGCTGAATCTATTGAGTGGTAGGAAGTAACCTTAACAAATCAAACTTTTAAATCGGTGTTTAGGTAATTTTGAAAATTCATTTATCTCATTATTTGAATTTGAAGACTTCATCAACCGTTTTGTATGATTTATAAACCATAAAACAATATACATTGCATAAAAGCGAAATTTGATAATTGCAACTTTTCAAGACCCATAACCTCAAATAAAAACATTTTTGAACTTTAAAAAACCGGTAAAAATACCAAATTTAGTGATCGGAAAAATTTTCGCAAGAAATGCCAAACACCGTCTGCCAATGAAAAGTTTTTAGAACTTATTGACTTCCCCATTCCTTTAAACGCAAAAAAACCACTCTTTAAGAAAACTTAGAACGGAATATGGCCTCGGTTAGGGGTATATGTGGCCGACGGGAGTCAGCCGAGTGCGGCAAAATCTCATTTGTCGTTCGGAAGGAGGGTAGGGAATGGCCCAAGGGGGGCTTCTCCCTTTGGGTGAACGGAATGAGCTTTCAGGGGAGAAGGCCCATCCCCACTCCCGGGCCCCTCTTTCCCTATCGATTCTCATTGGGATGGGGTTGGCTAGTTGCCAGCTACCGTGGAGGGGGAGTCGCTGCGGGACCCAGGCCGAGAAAGAGTGGCGTAACTGGACGGAAAAAAATACTATTGCTACCGTAGATGATTTGCAAATACGGAAAATAAAAGAACCTTTGCCGCATATTCCGAGGGAAAATTGCGTTATATGGTCACTAAACGGATTTTGGTTTTTTTTATACCAAAATGCTCAGCAGTTCGAGCTCGTTCAGGATCAGTTGAAAAAACTATTGGGAAACACGTCTGGAGCGAGTTATAACACTTCAAAGTTGGCGAGTGTCGTATATGGTCACTAAACGGCTTTTCGATTTTTATATGTCAAAACGCTCAGCAGGTCGAGCTGATTTTAGATCAGTTGAAAAAATTTTTGGGAAAAATCTCTGTCGCGAGATATCTAGCTTACAAAGCGTCCATTCAGCCCCTGAAGTAGTACGTAGTACACCAAAATACGTCAACTGTACATCGGAAAGAAACGGAATGGTGGAGAATTGCCGTTTCAAGGGTAAAAAAATACATTGTCAGGCAAGGTGGGCCGTCGCTTCGGATGGGCTGCCGCTCCACTCTTTCGAAATGGGGGCGCCCCCGGCCGCTTCGCCGGCCTTGGCGCCCCCATTTCGAAACCCTGTACGAGCTCGCACCCATCCGAAGCGACTAGGCCCCGGGGTGGCACGAAGCCTTATTTTTAGGCTCAGATCGGGTGTGTAGTTTCATGCCAAACCCATTTCGAACCCAACCATTTTTCGCAACAACGAAAACTGACTCCGGGGGCGGCTAAATTGCGTTATATGGTCACTACACGGATTTTGGATTTTTATATACCAAAATGCTCAGCAGTTCGAGCTGGTTCAGGATCAGTTGAAAAAACGATTGGGAAACACTTCTGGAGCGAGTTATAACACTTCAAAGTTGGCGGGTGTCGTATATGGTCACTAAACGGATTTTCGATTTTTATATGTCAAAATGCTCAGCGGGCCGAGCTGATTGTAGAACAATTGAAAAAACTTTTGGGAAAGATTTCTGGAGCTAGTTAAACCACTACAAAGTTTGGCGTCATCCCCGCCCACTACATACCATGTTGTCGCCCCGGCGAGTCAGTTTTCGGTGTTCGAAAAATGGTTGGGTTCGAAATGGGTTTGGCATGAAACTACACACCCGATCTGAGCCTAAAAATAAGGCTTCGTGCCACCGGGGGCCTAGTCGCTTCGGATGGGTGCGAGCTCGTACAGGGTTTCGAAATCGGGGCGCCCGAGGCGCGCGTAGCGGCCAGGCGCCCCGATTTCGAAAGAGTGGAGCGGCAGCCCATCCGAAGCGACGGCCCACCTTGCCTGACTCATGGAAGTACGTTGAATACCATATACCACTTATGCGATATACCACTTCGAAGTTAGGCTTCAACCAGCCCCCTATATACCATGTTTTCGCCTCGGAAATTCCGTTTTAGGGGGTGCAAAAGATGGATAAGTGTGCGATAAGAGTTTCGCTTGACATTACACACACGATCTGAGCCTAAAAATAAGGCTTCGTGCCACCCGGGGCCTAGTCGCTTCGGATGGGTGCGAGCTCGTACAGGGTTTCGAAATCGGGGCGCCCGAGGCGCGCGTAGCGGCCAGGCGCCCCGATTTCGAAAGAGTGGAGCGGCAGCCCATCCGAAGCGACGGCCCACCGTGCCTGACAATGTATTTTTTTACCCATGAAACGGCAATTCTCCACCATTCCGTTGCTTTCCGATGTACAGTTGGCGTATTTTGGTGTATTACGTACTACGACAGGGGCTGAATGGACGGTTTGTAAGCGAGATATCTCGCGACAGAGATTTTTCCCAATAGTTTTTTCAACTGATCTAGAATCAGCTCGACCTGCTGATCATTTTGACATATAAAAATCGAAAATCCGTTTAGTGACCATATCTGACACTCGCCAACTTTGAAGTGGTATATCTCGCTCCAGAAGTGTTTCCCAATAGTTTTTTCAACTGATCCTGAACCAGCGCGAACTGCTGAGCATTTTGACATATAAAAATCCAAAATTGGTTTAGTGACCATATAACGCAAGTTTCCCGCCGGGGCTACAAAGTTATGTAGTGGGCCGGGGTGACGCCAAACTTTGTAGTGGTATATCTCGCTTTAGAAGTATTTCCCAAAGGTTTTTTCAACTGATCTAGAATCAGCTCGGCCCGCTGAGCATTTTGACATATAAAAATCGAAAATCCGTTGAGTGACCATATACGACACTCGCCAACTTTGAAGTGTTATAACTCGCTCCAGACGTGTTTCCCAATAGTTTTTTCAACTGATCCTGAACCAGCTCAAACTGCTGAGCATTTTGGTATATAAAAATCCAAAATCCGTTTAGTGACCATATAACGCAATTTAGCCTATTCCGAAGTAGTCATTTTACAAAAATTTAGAGTTAGTTTCAGAGCTACCTATTGAGCCTGTAACCGGTATAAATTCATTAAAGGAGTACTGTAGTGGCAAAATTCGTGTAGATAAAAATGACTGGAATTCGTACCGCTTAGACCTTTTTCTGCTCGTACTGTACTATGCTAATATGTAGTATGTAAATTTGGGCTATTTCGATGTTTTTACCCTGAAAACAGAAATTGCTGATTTGCATCAATTATATCAAAAATTATCCATTTTTTGTAAGGAATCATCTGGAAATCAAGCGCCTAATTTCTATCTAAATTCCGATGGATTACGGTAGTTTAAATGCGCATATCGGGATTTTATGTAGCTTGAATGTTTGAGAAATTAAAATAAGCAAAAATTGTTTTAAAACTACCGTTTTTAAAGGTATTTACTGAGTAACTTCTGTAAGTCATCTTTTTGATTTATGAGCTCAATCAGCAGTTTTAGTAGGTATCGCATATGAAATATCGATATTTATTACCACTGAAAGTCACGGGAAATGCAGTTTGTCGTATCAAAAGAAAATTCGGATCAAATCAGTTGATTTTCAGAATCAGGATACTTATGGAAGTCGGCTTGGATCAAGTTCTTCAAGACGTATATTTTGTCACGGCGGGAAGAAGATTTGTTATTATGCACGTATTCAACGGATTGGCAACGGTACCAGGACATCGGTAGAAATATTCAAATTGCACAAGAATTTAATGAAAAATACATACAAAATAGGGTTATTAAAGTCGAGATCAGGGGAAAGTTATTAATATTATTAAAGGGATACCCAAGGTTTTGGGGGCGAAAATTATTTTTTTTTTTTTGGGGGGTCGAAATAATCCCCGTTTTTTTTGTTTGGGGGGGCCCGGGGGCCCCCCCGGAACCCCCCCTTTTCTTCTTTTTTTTTTCCCCTCCCCCCCCCGGGGGGCCCCGCGCGGAGGGGGCCAAGGGCCCCGACCCCGGGGGACGGGGGGGGGGGCCGGGCCGGGCCCCCGGGCGTTTTGGGGTGTTGGCGGGGGGGGGGCCGGGGGGTTAATGGGGTAAGAAACATGCTTGGAGCCGAAGGTATCGGTCTTAGTATCGAATTTACATCAAGATACGGTATCAATACATAGACCTCAAGATACCTCCTTCCCCAGGCTTTATCAAAGAAATTAGATTCTAACAATTTTGTAAGCTTGTTCATGGCTCAAGTACATATTCGGGGTTGACGAAGGAGAAGCCCTCGAATTCGGTCTGGTCGAGGTTCATCAGGAAGAGTCGATCGATTGGGGTCAGCCGGGGCACCTCGTGTGTGAATTCCGGGTCGAAGTTTGAGACGTCATCGGGAGCTTTCTGTAGTGGAAAACGTAGGTTTAAAAATAGTAACTTTAAATTCAAATTAGTAGCATTTCAGATGTTATTAAGTCACTATAGCCTACATTTTTGCCGAAGAGCATTCAAGAAATTGACTAAAGTCCAATAAAATAAAATTCGCCTAAAATTTGGAAACTTGCAATCATAAACCTTCAATAAGCAATTAAATAGTCATTAAATTTAGCATTTTATCTGTCTAATACCCTTCAAAAATCTGAACCGCATTTGCTTGAATCATTAAAGGGCCAGGCAATGGATAACTATGGTTTTTGGTCAAAGTTTTCTGATGGACCTTTCGACGCCAGCGACACGCTACGCAACGCACACGCGAGCCCTTTCATTGTGTCATCCATTACGAGCTCCAAAGGCCGAACAAGCGACTCGTGTGCGCTGCGTATCGCAGTCGCTGCAGCAATTATCTAGAACTCAAATCCAAAAGGGCTTGCTTGTTGCCTCAAAATCTAAAGGTTAAGGAGGATTTATTGAATTCTAAAAACTCGTCAACTCACAATAATCTCCCCAAAATTCTTAAACGCTTGTCTGTTTACTTGTTTAACCTTTGTACACCTGTTTAATTAAGTATATTTTATTAATCACCACGTTGACAAACCGGGGTGTATTGTGACTGGGGCTCAAAAAAATAATAATGATGAAATGATAAGGAGAATGGCATTCATTGTCGTGATTCGAGGAGAGAAGAGAAGAATAGATATAGGAAATACGACGATATAGAAGACAACATCAACCACGAATAGATCAGGGCTTTCAACATAAAATTTGTATATTTAAGGAAAATTGGGGATTTTACTAGCGTAATCGGTTTGTCAGGTTTAAAGTTAGAGCTGGCCTAGCTTAGGCTTAGCTTAGGTTTCAATGTTCCTTTAAAACCCTTCAATCCTAACCAAACCATTCTACTAGGCAAACCGATTACAGTACACCTACGGATCCACATGATCCGCATGCAAATGATTGTCTATGGAATAGAGAAGGGAAAATGCAATTTTCGTGATGGATTCCGGATTTTCAGCCTTATTTTATTTTTTCCGTTAAACTTAAATACCTAATTTTCGTATTAAAATTGCAGAATCCATCAAAAAACCATACGCCGAGCTTCACAACAACGATCCAAAAACATATCGGGAAATAACGACAGTAAATGCATATGGGCACATGACAGCAATGCGAGTACGTTAAGAGTACTTCCTCGGAACTTTGGAAATACGGTTCGAAAAGTGCAAAATAGGAAAGAATAGATGGTGGAGACTGGCAGACAACCAAGTAGGAGTTTTTAAAGGGACTGGCAAGGCATGGATATGGATTTTTGGCGCTTGGACTGTTCTTGGAGAAACACAAGCCAAGGCTAAGTTTAAGCCTAAGCTAAGCCGAAGCTAAGACCAAACCAAGCCTGGGCCTAAGCTAACTTAGCCGAAAATCCATAGCCATTCCTTGCCCGTCCCTTTAAAGCGGAAGGTTTTTGGCCGATTTTTCTAACTATTTTTGTGTATAGATGGCACCGGTAATGTGGACAGAGACAGGTATGATAATACTGATAAATAGACACAAAACAAAATTTTCGGAACATTCCAAATTCCGGACAGGAAGTTGAAAGGAATGGCGCTTTGTTTGGGTGAGGACTAGGAGGATAGTCGACATATACATTTTCGGGTGGACAGGAAGGTGCAATTCATAGAATTTTCGGTTTCCAAGGACTTGGGAGGCAAATATATAACTAAAATAAAACCTAGAAAAGCGTCAAATTTTACAAAATAGCATCATTTTGAATTTTTTAGATTTTCTAAATTATGGGCCTGATTTTTCTCTGTCGATCCTTGCCTTCCCGGTGCTTTTAAAGCCCCGAGTTTTAGCTTTTCAGATCGTTCAGCGCATTTTAAAGGGCCTGGCAAGACAAATATATCACTGAATAGCGAAATATTTCGCTATAATAAGCGAAAGCAAAATAAGCAAAATGATGGCAAAACAGTCAACATTTTTAAAAAAACGAAAATGTTTTTTAGATCTAATTTCAAATTGGCCATAAATTATTGCCTTCCAAGTTCCTTTAAACCAAGATTCCCGCTTCTAAATGCGCCTATCGCATCAAAATCAGCGGCTCATCATCGACAGTGTTGGCAAAATGCGGGTTGACGAAGGAGAATTCGCCGAATTCATCTCCTCGAATGTTGCCCAAAACGGCCATATCGGACGGCGTCAACCTGACCGGCAACCGCAGGAAGGAGTGGTCGAAGTTTTCGGTGGATTGGCCCGATTTCTGAAAGATGCCGAGACAATGCACATTCCGCTGCTGGGTGGAAGGGGAAAGGGTCGATTCCAGGGCATGAAAGGGGCATGCTTTGGGCTGGCGGGGGTGTCGGGATACTGTGGAATCGGGGTTCCAGCGGAATTTTAGCACATCCTTCAGTGTCACACTTTTTTTATGTCTTTTTAGATAATTCTTGAACGCAGACTTTGCAAATTTAATTTAAAATAGATTAAGACTTAAATGCCCAAACAGCTAAGTTTATAAATTAATTACCCTTTTCGTAAGACTCTTTCCGCGCATCAGAATGTCACTAAAGGCAGGCAAAGGCAAAAATCTGGTGCTACAAAGTCTGGACTCTCCAGGATGTCTTGCGCGCCGCGGTACGCAACGCGCTCAAACGCGCTCTCACGGATTACGGCCGCTCGCAGGTGGCAAAGCGGCGAGTGCGTCGCGTGTCGCGGGCGCGGCAAAGTCCATAGAAATCCATAACCAAAAATGTGCGCGTTGCCGTCCTGGTACCATTAAAGAAATTTGGCCTCTGGGTATCTGATACCTTTAAGGAGCCAGGAGGTATTACGGAGAAATAAGGTAGCAAGGTATCGTTATTCTCCCATCAATGTGAGATGCACCAATTCTACGCCTTTCACGCATTAATGATACTAGATTTTCGCCAAAATTTCCGATTCCACAGTACCCAGATGCCCACCGCTTTTCTAGACGTCTTTTCGTACCCTACAGGTCTTTGCTAAACATTTATCTAACTTTCCATAATATTTGGGACGCGCATCAGATTGCCACATGCCGACGACAAAACATTTAGACAGAGCTCCTTTCGAAGCCATAATTCCGGAAAGATTTCAAGGGATAGTGCCCGCAAGGGGTGCGGCGGGAAAGGGGAAGTGATTTTGGAGAAAATTGTTATAAAATTAAGGGGGTTATTTTATGCGAATTGTTAGGGTCCTTGTTAAAAAAGTCCGAAAAATGTGATTTACCACTTTGGGCTTGAAGGGCGGTTGGACTTGACGGGCCTCGATCTTGAACCAGTCTATCCGCCGGAAGAAGGCGTGTTCCTGAAAAAGTACTGATAGTCTTTGATCGCTGAAAATACATTATTGGGTATTATTATGGGAAGTGAACGCGTCACGTGCACGTTGCGTAGCTAGTCTCACGCCTCACAGTTAGGGCCAAAGTTGAAACTTTTGGGTTTTTAACAAGTCGTTAAAATCATAACAAAAATCATGATCCTACTTGAATATCCCTATTCCCGTTCGAACCACATCCCAGCCGCTTGACCGGGTTCTTCTGCAGGAATCCCTTGCAAATCGAGACCGACTCCTTGGAAAGAGCCTTCGGATACGAGACGTTGTGCTCAGTGATTGCTTAAAAAGTACTTTATTGTTCGACTATTAAATTTCAGGCCTTTACAGTTTCGATAAAGTAATTTTATCTTTTGCAAGTTTGCAACTGACCTGTGAATAGTTCATCTTCGTCCTCGCCGTCAAATGGCGGTTGTCCGGCCAGCATCTCGAAGAGCAGGACACCATACGCCCACCAATCAACCGATTTACCGTAGGGTTGGTAGAGGATGATCTGCATAGAAAAGGTATAAATTTTTTTTGAACAGTATCTTATTTTCCGCGTCAAAAATTACTTACCTCAGGCGCAATGTAATCGGGAGTACCGCAGAAGGTTTTTGTCGTCGCGTCGCCGGTAATTCCTTCTTTGCACATACCAAAGTCGGTGATCTAAAATGCACGAAATAAAGCTGAAGAACCAAGTTAAAATTACCGAAAAATATACCTGTATAATCATGATGTGTTCAATAATAGTTGCAAGAGTCGGCTTCCAAGGTATGAGTAAAGTGATACTCACCTTAATATGTCCATCCCGTTCCAACATGACGTTGTCGAGCTTCAAATCTCGGTAAATGATCCCCTTGGAGTGGAGGAAGAAGAGGCCGACGGCAATTTCGGCGGCGTAGAAACTAAAAATAACCTTTAAGTTGCCTTCTCTTTTTTACTTACCATGCAACCGGCTCCTTGAATTTGCCGACCTGTTGAATTTGATACATCAAATCACCGCCGTTGACGAACTCCATCACGAAGTAGAGGCGATCCTGAATCGATTGGATGGTTCTCTACCGCTATCTATCCCCTCTCTGTCCCACTGTCTCTTACTCTCTCGCTCTCGCTTTCTCTCTACCCACCATAGTCTGGAAGCAAGAGTGAAGAGCGACGAGGAATGGCGGCTTGTCCGGCAAGGCCAACACCCTCTTTTCTGTCATTGTACATTCGATGTCGTCGTCCTAAAAAGTAGATTTTCTGTCAAAGTCTAAAGCTAGCATGAAAAAGAAGTCCGGTAAGTAACCCACCTGAATAATCACATCCTTCTTCAAAATTTTGATGGCAAACAGTTCCCGGGACGTCTTGTGTTCTCCGAGCAGCACCTGGAATTGGACAGATTTTGTAGGCCGGAATTGAACTGGATTTTTAGACATTTAAACGGATAACGACACTTAATTTGAATTATTCCTGTCGAAATTTTATCTAGACTTTTTCAAATTAAATTAAAAAATATCCTCATGCATTTTTTCAATGGCTCAAAAGTGACACCATTTCTTCCCTCTTTTGACTAGATTTAAAAAGATTGGTTATCCTAAGCCAAGAACATTTTTACGTGATTTTAGAGTTTTACTGGTTTAGGAATGTCACCTAACTGTCGAGATCTAGCTGATCACTGGGGCCGATTCTGACGCTTTTAAACCTCTTTAGCGGACATAGCTATGTATTTTCGACCAGGGATTACATATGGCTAACACCCCGGCGTGCGCTAATTAGGTTTAATAGATTACGCTATGAAAGCACAACGGTGCGCGTTGCGCGTTGCTCGTGAGGAAAATGGCTATATGGATTTTCAGAACGGGAAATGTCGCGGATTTCAAAGTTTCGAAAACGATATCCACTCACCTTTCCAAAAGATCCCTTCCCCAGCACGGTGATAAAGTTGAAATCGGCCGCCTTGATGACGTCGCTCTTCAACGTTGGAGACTTGGTCATGTCCCTCGGCTTTGGCGGCGTCTTTTCTCGATTTGACTAAAAATTGAATAGTTTTAAAACAACAGAGATCTATCCATGGCCTTCTAGTACAGTCCAACTACCATTTCTAAAAGCCAGCGAACCAACAGAAAAAAATAAATATAGAGAAATTCGTGAAAAAAACAGGGATTAAAAGTGTGAAATCGGGGAGGGATCTGGCCTACCCGGTGGCGAGGTCGACGTCCCTTTAATGGAAGCGATTAGTAAGCGAAATTTTTGGTGTTAAAAATAGCAAAAGCAAGGTTAGAAACTTACATTGCAGTCCTCCATCTTTTTACGCATCTTTTCGAACTCCTCCTCGTCTTCTGGGGGGATTGGGATGTTGTAGAATTCGCCTTCTTCCTGAAAAAATATAACTAGGTGAATTTAACAAGCCTTAGAGCATTTTTCGTATTTTAATCAGGGTTTTTTCATTTTAATCTAATTTTTATGTAATAGTGTTTGGTTTGAGATACTTTTTGATGCCGAAATATAAAAAGATGTGTTTAGTTTTGTTCTGATTGAATTCACCAAATCATTTTGAGCCCAGATTTAAAAGCATTTTATATACACAATTTTAGAGACGGAAATTCTATACAAAAACTGCAGTTCAACTCCAAATTTAAATTGTTCCGCGCAATTCCGTTAATGTTTTGAACTTTTATCGTGTTTTTGAAGGACCTGACAGTGATACTTAATATTTACTGAAAACAACTTTCCGTTAAATTTTATGTGGAATACCTCACCTCGTTCAACAGCTTGAACCACCCGGCCACGCCCTCCTTGATCAACTCCGAGATCCCGAAGGACATCGAGCCCATGAAGTCGTTTCGCGACGTCCGGTCCCAGTCCCAAACTTCGATTGAAAGCCGGCGATCCCGGTCGGTGGGGAGAAGTTTGCTAAAAATCGCATTTTTTTGATGTCCAAAAAGTTGAATAGGATTATCTGAAAGGTACACTAAATAATCTATCGTTATGTGTGCTTAATAATCTGTAAACGTACTAGCTAAACTTCTCATCCCAAGTCGGGTTGAGTGTCGCTCTCAGCGTTTTTGTCTTTTGCTTCGATTTGCATCCGGCGTCTTCTGGAATCAGCTTCAACTTGACGTACGGGTCGGAGAGGCCGTTAGGGTCCATTGGGATGAGGTTACGGGCTTCTTTCACTAAAAAAAAACCGGTTTGGTATCCTACTCTGTCGCTCTCCTCTCGCTCTCTCTCTGTCACTCTCTCTCCCTTTCTCGCTCTCTCCACTTACCATGAATCCTCAGCTCCCCTCCCTCGACTCGTATATCAACCAGCATCCTCCCTCTCTTCTCCGTATTGTCAGTTCCGCATAAATTTGGCACATTTTTCACGCATCTGTGGTGGACGTTCGTGTCGCAGGACTGGCATTTCATTCCCTGAAAAAGGGCAGTTAGTAAGGTATCCATTAAAATATAGCTTTTCTAGGACTTAATAGCTAGATAGAAAATATTTCCCCATTCATATCGCATCCTAATTAAAGGCAATAGCAGCTAACCCAAAATTACCTGTCGTCTAAACGCGGCCACCCTCCAGGCGTACATAGCAAGCATTTGGACAATGTCAGGGAATGCCGGGATTACAGATTTCTGCGCCGATTTTTCTCAAGTAAAGTTTGCGCACCGAGTTATGCGTCAATTCCCTGATTCATTTACGGGCCTGTGAGCTTTTAGAATGGCGACCCGAACACGAACAGATTGCGCAAATCGCCCGTTTGGGTCAAAAAGAAATGGTCGCGCTGATGGGAGTAACTCATTTTTCGGGTCCTATGCCATCATATAGCATTTTTAAAGATTTCCTTTGTGTTGCGATGACGCAGAAACTAATTTTTGTTATGCTTTTTTTTCCGGTTTAAATGGGTGGCAACAGCTGGCATGAGATTTTTTGCGGGCTTGCAGCAATCCTAGCGAGCGAGGAACTAGTTTTCCTAATAGCAGTTGCTATGATTATTCGCTTTAGTCAAAAGTTTTATTTATTCTGATTTTTTCTGCTCCACGGTATTGGTCGCTTTTTAAAGGGACCCGGAGAGCTGACGATTAATTGCTTACCTGGTGTATCAACCCGTAAAGCAGCGAACCGCAGTGGTCGCAGAAGGTGGGCGAAGAGTAGGTCTGTACCTTCCATTTGTGTTGCTGTCGAGGGTCCTGAACAATTCTGTTAGTTTTATTTTCAGCAATTTTTTCACTCTATATCGATCCTTGCACTTGGATTTTTTCACTCCGCCGTTTCGAGTTTTCCGGTAAAAACGGTTTGTTGGGGTGAATTGACGAGGGCGCCACTTTTATGGCTACCAATAAAATTAGCGCCCCATGGACCACTCGTTCGGGGAGTTTAGCTACCCGTAAATGCGTGGGTTTACGGTCAGCGTGACTTGATGAAGCCAGAGAACTGGGAAAAACGCCCGGAAATGACAATTCCGGCTGTGTTTAGATGGCCTCAGTAGCTTTTTGAGCACCTTGGAAGCTTTAAGTCCTATTCCTAGAGTTTTTGAGGGTGGCGGAAGGTTTATCCGGGCTCTAAGATCCAGATTCCAAGCAAGCCTTAAAAGCGGTGACAACCTGTCACCAAAAACTCACGTCCGTATCGGCTCCCTTGTCAGCGCCCGGGCACGCAAAATTGACGAACTCGTGGCAGCGCTTGTGGACGACGAGGGTGCAGACTGAAAAAAATGGGTAATATGACTACGGTAGGTGTGGGAGAGAAAGAGTGAGAGAGAGTGAGAGACAAAGCAACCTTGGGTGAGAGAGATAGAGAGTGGACATCTGCGCGAGAGAGTTTTATGAGAGAGAAAAGAGAGCGTCCGCGAGAGAGAGAAGAGAGATAGCGAGATAGGGCTAAAAACGAAGAGATTTGCCATATTTCAGGTGTTTTCAAGGTGCCTTTTGATAGCGTACCGTATTTCGCCGATTTCCCTTCTTATACTCGTTTTTAAAACCCACGGATCCCCATGTTTTTTTCCTGGAACTTCCCCCCTTTTTGGGCCCATAGCTATTCCCTCCCCATCCCCACCTAACAACGGGTGGCCCATATTTGAGGAGAAGCCAAGAAACACACCTCCCCATAAAGCCAAAAGACCACGCCGCCCGCCGACTCCCGAGCAATTTTCCTGGCCCCCAAAAAGTCCGACATCGCTGCCCTCCTTAGCCCTTCTCGACATATACGTCGCTAGGATTATGGCGGAATGGGGCAGATGATGTAGTATTGGGAGGAGAATTCTAGAAGTAGAAGGGCATGGTTACGAGCAGGGTTGTTCATTTGCGGTCCGGTCCGCGTCCGTCCGCCGGGACACCGCCCGTCCGCGCAAAGCAAAAATGACGGGCGGACGGGTCCCGGACGGGCCGGACGGACGAGCGGGCGGGCCCGCGTCCGCGATGAAGGCCGACAGCAAAATATGATGCAAATTAAGAAGACCAACCCTTCAAAGTGCTTACTTGGAAAGAACGAAAACCGCATCACAAATCACGATTCGCCCCGCGAAGGGGCCACCCGTCCGAGCCCGTCCGCCCGTCCCGACCCTCCCAGCCTCCCACCCCGAACAAATTATCGAGGACGGGCCCGACCGTCCAGCCGTCCTAAAACCCTGGTTACGAGGTATTAAAGCGACTGGGAAAGAACTAAAGATTTTTCTGACCGTTTTAGAGGTCTCGGGAAGTTCACAGGCTGCTTTTAGGCGTACGAGCAACACCTGACTACGTTTTTGAAGTTTTGAATGATTGCCGAAAGCAAAAAAAAAATGTTTTTAGTTTCCAGTTCCTTTAATCAAGGCTCACAAAGAAGGCTGGAAATGGCTGTTATTTACTTAAATTTAGCGTTAAGGACTGCTAAAAATGGCATGTTTTCATGAAAAGGTAGACTAGGATTAGAAAAAGTACGATTCTGACTTCGACTTGGCATAAAGGGCTTGCAAAAAATTATTTCAATTTTTTAAATAATCAGATTGACCTAAAAAACGTTATTACTATCGTCGGGGTTGGCTAATATGGCGGCGGACTAAAGGTTTACTGGCCACAGGATATCAGAAAATGAATAAAATGACGACGGCCACGTGGTGGGGTTTGAATTCCAAAAGTAAACAAGAGAATTAGGGGTCATAACGCACTTTTTAAAACTTTTAAGATAATTTTCAAAGCGGATAAGGGAAAATAACAATATTGATGGTAAAGAGAACGTCCGTGAGAGTATAACCAGAGGAAAAGCATAAGAAACCCACCCTGACACTGAAATCCTTGCTTGGTGATGCCCCACAAAAAATCCTTGCAGTGACTGCAGAACGTCGGCTGCTTGAAGAAGCGGGCGATGAATTTGTGTTGTCTGAAAATGAGAGATTTTTAGGAGTTTTGTGGTTAATTATCATGCTTGCTTTTTTCCAGTTAGTTGTTTTGCTTCCGATTTCACAGGAGCTTTTCTTGTCCATGCTCGCTCGGGGGTTGATACAATTACTTTGAAACTGTTTTTCGCTTTTGTGCTCTCTACTCCCATCTTAAAGGGAGCGTGATAGGTAGAGAGTCTGAGTAACGCTGAATTTTGCAGGGAAAAACAAGATGCTATCGTCTCTTTAGTGCGCTTTTTCTTTTTCCGTTTTTTTTTTTTTATAAATATTTTTTTTTTTTTTTTTTTTTTTTTTTTTTTTTTTTTTTGGGGTTTTTTTCCCCCCCCCCCCCCCGGGGGGGTTTTTTTTTTTTTGGGGGGGGGGTTTTTTTTTGAAAAGGGGGGGGGGGGGCGTTTCCCCCCCAAATTTTTTTTTTTTTTATTTTTTTTTTTTTTTTTAAAAAATTTTTTTTTTTTTTTTTTTCCCCCTCCTTTTTTTTTTTTTTATTTGGGGAATTTGGGGGGGGGTGGGGGGGCTTTTGGGGGCTGTTTTTTTTTTTTTTTTTTTTTTTTTTTGTGGGTATGGGGGGGGGGAGGGGTTTTTTTTGGTTTTTTTGTGGGGGGGGGGGGAGAGGGGGAGAGGCTTTGGATTTTTTTTTCTCTTTTTATTAGGCTCGCGGTTGGCCAAAAACTAACCACCAAAAAGCTCAGATCTTGAAGTGTTTTCCATTCCCCTCCCAGAACACACACCCAAAAACTTTCCACGCTTCCCGTTTCGCATCTCACCACCCCCGAAAAAAATTTCATCAAATCCTTTAGGGGGTTGTTGTGGGTCCTATCCCCTTCCCTTCAGAAGGGCCCGGGGCCCAGCTGGGTATGGCCATAAACGCAGTGTGTGGCTAATGACCAAATTGGGGATGCGCCCAAACAAACGAATTTTGCGTCTAGCGCGAGTTTTCCGGTTTTCTGGCCTTTTGAGTGACCCTGCTGGTCAGGTGGACACTACATATAAGGAACGGATGGAGGGAAGAAAAAGAGAGAGAGAGAGAGAGCAAGAGTGAGAGAAGAGTGGGAGAGAGAGAAGCAAGCTACAAGGATAATACCCCAAAATTGCCTTGTCCAAGACCGGAACGTTGCCGGTGGCCACCCCCATTATTCACTGGCCCCCGAAAAAGCCAAGGCACCCAGGCCACTTCTGGGGCTTGAGGACCAAATTGACTTCCGAGATCAAACACCAGAGAAGAACGGGAATGAACAAAAACTATTCAAATAATATTTTCTATAACTTGGGGGGGGGGAGGAGGGGAAGGGGAGGGGGGGGGGAGGGGGAGGGAGGAGGAGCGAGGGGAGGAGAGGTGTAAAAGAAGAGAAAGAAAGCGAGATAGAGAGAAAGGAAAAGGGACAGAAGTGAGAGAAATCAGTTATTAAAATTCAACTATTTAATCCTTGGATTTTGTCAAAATTCTTGTTTCATTAAACCCAC